GGGCCGAACTTCCCGCCCACGCTGGCGTGTCCGGCGCCATCTACTCTGAATCTTGGTGGCGGCGGCTTCACCGTCGGCTGAGTCGACAAAAGAAAACCTGTCACCACTCTGCCCGACAGCGTCGTACTCGCGCCCGCCTGCAGTCCTGTCACCAATCTCTGCCGCCTCTTCCAGAGATCGAGAGGCGGCACTCGACTCGCCCTTTCGCGCTCGTTGCCATGTATGCTAGGTGAGGGGAGGGGAGGGCGCGCCTGCTCAAACTCGATCGTCAGCTGCGCCGCGCCCTTGCGCTCCTGCGCCTCGCGCGCGTCTTCCTCGCGCTCCTTGCGCAGCATCTGGTAGGCCTGCCCAAACACGCCCTGCCCCCACCCCTTCTGCAGCTTCTCCGCCTCCGCCTGCACCTCGTGCACCTGCGGACGGGTCGGGTGGCTGGGTCGGTGTGGCCGGGTCGGGGTGGCCGGGCGTTGCTGCGGGCGGGCGTCGTGGGTGGGTCCGGTGGCCCTAGGGTGTGTGGTGGGTGTAAGCCCGGTGTGCCAGAGGCGGACTGGGGTGCTGTCCTCCAGCGCGACAACGCGTGTGGCGTGAGGACAGCGGCTCGGAAGCTGGTCTCTCGACAGGTCTCGGAGTGCTGCGTGAGTAGTCTGTGCGAATGCCACCTCCTCATCCATCATCCGCTCCGCCTCGAGCAGCTGCTCCCAGATCCCAAAGGGAAGCAAGCCGCGGTTGAAGAGGCGCACCATGCGCGGGTGGTCGCGCTCAAGCTGCTCTATCAGCGGTATGTCCGCCATCGCGCGCTTGAGCAGCGCGAGCGGCAGCGTGCGCTTGTCTGGCGGCTTGGACTCGCGCAGCTCGTCATAGTCGTCGATCTCAATGGGGAGCTCGAAGTTGTACTGCTTGTCATCGAGCGCCTCGTAAACCTCCGGATTCTCGAGCACCTGACGCGGGAGCCGCAGACGCCGGTGAGCGCCGGAGAACCGCCGCGCAGGCTCGCAGGAGGCCGTGTCTGCGTGCTCAGCAGAACGCCGCACAAGGCAGAGCAGCAGTGTCTGCGTGCAAGCGGCCCGCCACGATGCGTCGGCAGCGCCTCGCGCGACCGACGCGCTGTGAGGGACAGCGCGGGGCGCGCCAAACGGACTGCTCCTGATGCTGCCAGCAGGCGGCAAGGCGCAGCGAGCGCGCAGCAGAGAGTGGGTCGCGTGCAGGTGCTGAGCGAGGCGTTCTGGGCGCCGGGTGTGCTGCGCGGTGGAGGCCGCTCCTGCTTCTCTTGCCGCTTGTCCACCACTAGGAAGATGTAGCCGGCATAGCAGAGCAATGACGTCGTCAGAAGCAAAACGAGTGTCAGGAACCACATGCGCCGCGCGGCACCGAGAGCGGCGCGCCCACGGCCTACAGCGAGCACAGGGGCAGCCTGT